ACTTACACATACACACACGCAAGCAAGCGCATATTCACGCATGCACGCTCGCACGTACACACGAACACACGCACATACACACACACAAACACACTTACACTTACATATAAACCACATACATTATGTACTTGCACGTGCGCACACGCGCACACGCACACACACAGACACACACATACACACACACATACACTCACACATACACACACATACACACACACAAACACACACACATACACACACAAACACACACACACACGTATATATTTACTTATACTTACACACAGCCACATACATGTCACTAGCACACACAGACACACAGACGGATAAATACCCACCACAACACGGGCGAACGGCGATTGTCCCTCTGGGTCAAACACGCCACAGAACTCGCTGCCTTTGTATTTTGCTCTATCGACGCTGGAACATTGTCGATCTGGTTCTACTTTGTCCATGCATCTGTAGAGAGGACACATAGGCAATATTATTACAGTATTGTATTCTCGGCCTACAACAGGTTCAACTTCGTCCATGCATCTAAATAGAGTACACATAATAGCTCTTCTCAATGACTGGTGATGACCAATACATCCACAGCGAAATAGAATAATTTAAAGAAACAAAAGTTACGATGACTTGGGGCTTATGCTGTGGCCGATGATACCAATAAGGCAGATGTTTGACTTGCACAAAGGTATGTTTCAAGAGAGAAAGAGCAACAAGAGAGGATACAAAGGCTATATTATTACAGCATTGCATTGCAGGCCAGCAAAAGGTCCAACATTGTCAATATATCAGAAGAGAGCAGAAAAAAGATGTTATAGGCCCATCAATGTTGTTGCCTTCTCCAATGGATAAGTTAGCAGATATCTAACTCTAACAGGCTTAAAGGGGAGGGGGTAACTATGGCCTTTTTAGATAAAACCTTATAGCAAGGAGATATAACAGGAAAACATAATATGTAAAATGTAACTTTAATTAGTTTGTTTAAGTCTACGGTTGACATGGTCGCCATATTGAAAATAAACAGCTTTCATAAAAGTAAAAAGGGTTTTCTATTTACCAACCAAAATTGGTACATTGATAGATATTCTCAATATAAAATTCCATACAGTTGGAATCTTGTTTATCTTGAACAGGAAAAAAGTTAGAGTTTAATAACTGACCTACCCCCTCAAGCCTCTAAATTCGATTACATATTCATTCACGTAACTAACTCATGAAAGCATCGATTTTATTTTCCACCTGTATAAAGTTAGGTTGTGGTATGATTAACAAGCCCTGAAATTTTTTTTGAATCAAAAAGAAAATTAAAAAGTAGATGAGAAAAAACGTTAGAAATTGACTTCGATGACTTGGATTACTTGAATCATAGCAGGCGGCACATGTTCATAGCTGCTCATCTCTCCTTTCCAGCGTCTACCCAGGGGTCTTCGTGTTATTCTGTTAATTGTCTCCATGGGGAGCTGGTTTGAGTCACCCCTAACCACTCCTCGGAGCATTTTTCCCCTATACCCCCGCACACACTTTTCTTTTATTGTGCTGAGTGAGTCTGTCTCCTCTTGGTCGTGAAGGCTTTCCTGGCATCTGGCGATCACTAATGGTGGTTTGAGCAGGATTCGGCCATTGCGTGCTGCTTTGCCAACAAGTTCATCAGCACGTTCATTTCCGTGCACCCCGGCGGGCCCAGGGCAGAACACCCATGTAATCCTTAGGAGGTGGCTATTTGCAAAGGAAGCTCTACAGTAACTGTAGAGCCACCCACTCTTGATTGTTTCTAGGGTGCTCATCGAATCTGTAACTTCCATACTGATCCATTCCAGCGCCTCTGTTATTGCCTTAATGATGCTCGAGGTAGTGCACTCGTAGGCTCCAGACTCTTCTTCAATTATCCTCCCGTCAACTCGAGCACTGAACACCCACCCAGATTTCTGCCACGCCTCACTGATCCGTCGGTGAAGACGACAACATCACCCTTCACTGAATTTTCCTCAAGGATGGTCACAATTTCCGTATTAGTTGCATTTGCTGGCCACTCGCTACACTCTCGACCTAGCTTGCTATCACCTTCATGAAGTTGCTCATGTCTTTCTCCGGCCTCATCCAGTCACATTCTCTTCTTATGTCCTTGATTTCACAACACATATCGAGAGTTCGCTCTGCCTGCACCTTCCATGAAGATCCTCTTTTTAATCTTTGGCGTACTGGGTTTCCTATTTTCAGATGTAGTTGGTGATGTTCGTCCGCTGTTACTCGTAAGTAGGCCTTGACTTATGTTAGCTTGTGTCGGTGGGTTAAGATTGGAAGGTCCAGCAGATATCTCCTCGCTGATGCTGTTGTGTCACGGGTGCATCCCAGAATAGTTCTCATTCCTTCATCTTGAATGACTTCGAAGCGTTGTAGTTGGGTTTTGGATAGGGTGAGTCTATCAAGGCTATCGTCCATTACAGACAGTACAACCGCTTGAAGCATGATCATAAGGGCGCGGTGGGGGCATAGATACAGCTATCATTCTCAGTGCAACTGGTCCTTTCCTTGCGCTGGTGATAATGTTAGTCACATGGTCTTTTGCCGAGAGAGTGCGGTCAAAGGTAATGCCCAGGTACTTCAATTTCTCTTGCCTTTCCAACAGCACACCCTGTATATTAACAGTAGGCATGATAGCTTTAACTGCCCAGTTGTTGAGACTGGTCCACAGTACCCCTACCTTCGCTGGATTAAGTTTTCCATTGTTCTGTTCGCTCCTTTCACCAATTCGATCCAATTCCTCCTGCATGTTCCTACCGATCTCGCCCCTGTCTATATACCAATACATCATCTGCAAAGCTTAGAGTACGGCCAGGTCTCTCCAATTGATTGGCTGTAAGACTGATGGTGTATATATAGAGCAAGGCCGGTGACAGGGCCGA